CATAATATCATTACAATTCTTCAATTCCCGATGAATAGCAAGCGCTTTGCGTCGCGTAAGATTGAGTAGGAAGGAAACAAAGACATAAGCCTCACATGAATCAAATCACACGATGAGGAATCAAGAAGGGAAGTACTCCTAACAGCTCTGCAGCCTCCCGAGGATAAGTACAGACGTCTCCGTACCGATCCGCGAGACTCTACTAGACTTGCTCGTGACTCGTGAGACCCTAGGAACCTAGTGCTCTGATACCATGTTCTCACGATCCAAAATCCACTAAGGGTCGTGACAAAAGATTTACTACTTTTTTCTCCAATTGCTAAAGATTTGAAAGAGTTATCGGATATACAGGAAGGGAAATAAAAATTTAATAGGGTTAGATGTTGGTTCTCTTTGGATGCAGTTAAAGATCAATATCTTATAGAAATTAAGGGTCCACCAAACTATATAGAGAATCAAGTTCTCCATTAAATCCTACAGAACACACACACACTACAGTACGTCAATGACACAATGGAGTTTTACATGGAAAACTCTCAGCTCATGAGATTAAAAACCACGACCTACCCTTGTAGGATTTCAACTTCACTACTGAGCAAACTTCAGATTACAACCTATTGTAATATAACGACCCGACAGTTCGTTTTGAGCTCTAGCGCGCCGTTCAGCAGTTTGAGGCCATGAGCAGCTTCATTTCAGGTGTTAAGACTTGTACGCATGGCCGGAATTGAATTCCGGGAAGTTCGGAGTTGATTTGGAAAGATAATTCTCATTTTGGAAGCTTTAAGTTGAAAGAACTGACTAAGATTGGATTTTTGAGTAAATGAACTCGGAATCGGGATTCGAAGGTTCCAGTAGATTTGTATGATGATTTCGGACTTGGGCGTATGTCCGGATCGGGTTTCGGAGGACCCGAGAACATTTTGGCAACTATTGTGGAAGTTAGCATTTTTGGAAGAATTTCATAAGATTGGGTTGAGGTGCATTTCAGTGTTATCAATGTCTGTTTGGTATTCCGAGGTGGGGAATAGCTCCGTATGGTGATTCTGGTGTTGGAAGCGCGATCGGAAGTGAATTCGGAGGTCCATGGATCATTTTGGAGTCATTTAGCTAAAGATAGAAGTTTGAAGGTTTTTGAGATGTTTGGCCGGAAGTGGACTTTTTGATATCCGGGTCGGATTCCGATTCCCGAAGTTGAAGTAGGTCCGTAATGTCGAATATGACTTGTGTGCAAAATTTGAGGTCAATCGGATGTGATATGATAGGTTTCGGCATCGAATATTGAAGTTTGAGTTTCTCAAGTTGATCAAGCTGATTTGTGGTGTGATTCGTGATTTTAGCAGTGTTTGATATGATTTGAGGCCTTGAGCGAGTCCGTAATGTGTTTTGGGACTGGTTGGCATGATTGGTTGGGGTCCCGGGGGCCTCGGGTGGATTCCGGGTGGTTAACGGGTTAAATTGGAGTTGGGGAGAATAGCTGAAGCAGCTGATATCTGGTGTAACCGCACCTGCGAGGATTTGGCTGCAGGTGCGGAGCCGCAGAAGCGACCAGGAGAACCGCAGATGCGATTTTGGTCTGGAGGTGAAGGACCGCAGATGCGGCCGTCTCGCCGTAGAAGCGGGACCGCACCTGCGGCTGTTGAGGCGCAGAAGCAGAAAAAGGGGAGCCGAAGAGAAACCGCAGGAGCGGTTGAGGGGCCGCACCTGCGGAACCGCAGAAGCGGTCGTTTGACCGCAGGTGCAGTATTGCTGGAGGCAGTAAGATTCTTTAAAATCGGGGGTCTTGGCCATTTTCCTGCATTTTTACTTTAGTTGGGCGATTTTTGAAGAGCTCCAAGAGAGGGATTTCATCATTCAAACATGAGGTATGTTAATTTCATCCCTTGTGAGCTAAATACATGGTTTTGTTACGGATTTGATCATGAAAATTGGTAGAAACTTGGGGTTTGAGGGAAAACCTAGAAAATTGATATTCTTGGATTTTGACCATGGTTTTGGGCATGAAATTAAGAGTAAATTATATATTTGATTTCGTGAGGTTATGGGTAAACTTTATCTTCGAAAAATTTCAGAATCCGGGCACGTGGGCCCGAGGGCAATTTTGTCAACTTGTTGATCGGGGTTAGGAATTTGTTATAAATTGGATCGTAATGGGTAATTGAGCATCTATTAATGGATTTGCATAATTATTGGCTAGTTTTGGAGCATTGTGTCTCGATTCGAGTCTTCGGAAGGGCGTGGAATGAATGTCGGTCATGGATCTTCGGAGCGAGGTGAGTCTCCTTTCTAACCTTGTAAGAGGGAATTGTCCCCATAGGTGAATTAATTGAACATATGTGTTGCTATTTGTGGGGGCTACGTATGCACGAGGTGACGAGAGTCCGTACGTAGCTGCTATCATGCCTATGTCCGGGTAGTCTAGGACTCAAAAACATGCTTACTTGGAATAATTGTAACTTTATTGATGGTTTAAATTGCTTAATCATATCGTAGTGGCAAATAATTTTCTAAAAAGAGTTAAACTTTATTTTCTTGACTTGTAAAAGAGAAATGTACACCTCCATGTACAATTGATTCCCAGATGAAGTCTTGATTGACTGTTTGATTATGTGTTTCTATGTGTACCTGCGTCGCATGTATGGTCCGCGAGCAGGGTGATTGTTTATTTGTATTTGACCGCGTCGCATGTATGATTCACGAGCGGGGTAATAGATGCATCTATGGTTCGCGCCATTCGACCCTCTGGCAGTGCATAGTTTAAATATTGTTGGATCGGGCCGTACGTTCTCGGCATGATTTGCGCATGCTTGTATTGCTTGCCTTGTATTTTACTGAAATTGATATTGCTTCTTCCCGTCTTGAGAATATATGTATAAATGATGAAAAAGGAAATTGGAAATTTTCAGATAAAAGAAAGAATTGTTTACTTGCTTCACTCTATTGAATTACATCATGTTTATATAAACCCTCGACTTGTTATATTATTGATGTATCATCATTGGACCACTAGTAAGTGTCGAAGTCGACCTCTCGTCTCTACTTCTTTGAGATTAGGCGGGATACTAACTGAGTACACGTTGTTTTCGTACTCATACTACACTTGCTGTGCATTTTTGTTGCACGGGCACCTGCATCTCTAGCGGCCTAGTGGGCGTAGCAGCATGGTTGATACAGAGACTTAGGTGAGCTGCACTCCTCGAGACGACCCGCAGCAAGCAGAGTCTCTTTCAGATTTCCATATTTACTTTCTGTCCTATATGTATTCCGGGCAGTTGTTGTATTATATTATTTCCTAGAGATAGCTCATGCACTTGTGGCACCGGGTTCTGGGATGATTATGGGATATCTTGTATTATATCTTGCATTAATTCCTTAACATTCATACTTGAATAGAAATGATTATCTTTACTGGTAAAATTGAAGGAAAAAAACTATGGTTTTCAAAATTATCAAAACGAGAATTTACTAAGTATTTTGGTTGCCTTGCCTGACAGTGGTGTCCGGCGTCATCACGACCCTTAGTGAAATTTTGGTCGTGACAACATCGTATCAGAGCACTAGGTTCCCGTAGGTCTCACGAGTCATGAGCAAGTCTAGTAGAGTCTCCCGGATCGGTACGGAGCCGTCTGTACTTATATTCGGGAGGATACAGGGCTATTAGGAGCACTTCCCTTCTTGATTCCTCATCGTGCGATTTGATTTCCTTGAGGCTTATGCCTTGTTTCCTTCCTACTCAATCTTATGCGACGCGAACCGCTTGTTATAAATCAAGAATTGAAGAATTTTAATGGTACCACAGAGGTGGTACGGGATGCTTCTCCTAGCGTAGTTGATTTGACTATTGTCGTCGCCTTGTGGAAGGACATTATGTCATTTCAGTTCAGTAACTGTACTTTTGAGAGATCTAAGGCTAGGCACAAGTTGCCATGGTGCTTATGAACGGTTGTCGCGCGGTTGTACCATAGAATAAACTACAATTATTGTTTAAATTGATCAAAAGGAGTAAATATTTTTGACACCGTTAATGCTCAAAATTAAGCTATTACGTTATGTATGCTCAAAATAGCCAAATCAAAATTTGTGGACCTCAATATCCGATAGTCCACCACTTTATTTATTTTTTATTTTTTTAAATTCGCTTATTTTTGTCTTAAATAATTAATTTAGTTTAGAAAGTAACTTTTGTTGTTAGTGTAAATATTTTATATAGAGTATTTATATATCAAGTATTCCCTCGATTCCAACTCCCAATATAAACGTCTTTTAAAAACGATATTGTATACATCGTTACGAATCATAAGAGAGAAAAAAGTAGGTGCAGATGATCAAAAACTCACTTACAATGATATTAATATAATGGATTTATTATTTACACAGACGACAATTTTTATATTGTCAACATAATTTAACCATTTATTCTAGGTTATTAATTTATAATAATAAATAAAATTAACTGCAATTAATTTTTAAGTGACGTAATTGTATAAAAAAATTTACGTCGCGAGAGCATCTATGATGTCCGTGTGTTCATCTCAATTTCTTTAATTTGCGCTTGTACTTATTCGATGTAAGCTACCTGGTCAAAGCTGAAATAATATCAGATGTCACATAATCTAATTCACTGAATATCACACTGACTGCTGCTAAACACTATTAAATACATAATCAGATTCTAAAAATCAAGAGATAATTGTCATGCAAACCTTGATTTCCTTCGGTATAAATACCACTCCTAACTCCACCATTAGCAACAACACAACGGTTGTGGAGCAAGAAAACATAATCTTCAGCTACCAAATCTCCGTCAGAATTCGTCTTGTCAAAGAGCCAGATGTGCCACATCTTCACAAACTCATTTCCCAAATGTCAATTACCATAACCTGTCAGATGTCTTCAGTGCTACAGAGACTTCTCTTTCCAATTTCTTATCCAAATCCCCACCTTATCATTCTTTCACTGCTCTTATCCTTGAGGTCTCACCCAACCCATTTCCTAATACCATGGCCCAAGACCTCAGTTTCAACCCTGTCATCAAGAAAAATATCAATCTTGAGACCCCAATTATTGACCCGGAATTTGAGACTCTGAGGTCCAAATTTAATGGTTATCATATTTATGTAGCGGGTCATGTGCTGGTTTATCAAAGCTACAATGATTTCTTTGAGAAATCCGGTGTATATTTGGACCAGTTGTTTGTGAGGAATTGTTATAGGGGTTTGGGTTTTGGGAAAATGTTATTTTCTGCTGTTGCATCGGATGCTGCAAGTAATGGAATGGGGATGGTTGATTCGCTGGTGGCTGATTGGAATGAAAAGAGTATGAAATTTACGAGAAAATGGGAGCTCATTACATTCCTGAATATAGACTTTGCAAATTGTATGGTGAGAAGATTCAACAGTATTCCAACATCTCTCATTAGTTTCAACTGCTGCAGTCATCCATATGTTTATTAGGCATTGGGACAATAAAATTGGTTGCGCAAAAAAAAAAGGTATCATGAAGTTGAAGTTGGAAAAGAAAAAGAGTACATGGAATTTATCATGATTCTTATTCTTTTTGTTTTCCATATCTATCATTTTTCGATGTGATAAAAAATATCTTTTCAATGGAAATATGCTTTTGATTTTGAAGGCACTCTGGTAGTTAAATTACAAGAATGTTATGAGATTTTATCGAGGAGGGAATAGTATTAATTTAAATAATCTAAAGATTATCATTGAAATAACCACAAAGATTTACTACTTTTTTCTCCAATTGCTAAAGATTTGAAAGAGTTATCGGATATCCAGGAAGGGACATAAAAATTTAAAAGGGTTAGATGTTGGTTCTCTTTGGATGCAGTTAAAGTTCAATATCTTATTAAAATTAAGGGTCCCACCAAACTATATAGAGAATCAAGTTCTCTATTAAATCCTACAGAACACACACACACACACACACACTGCAGTACGTAAATGACACAATGGAGTTTTATTTAGAAAACTCCCAGCTCACGAGATTAAAAATCACGACCTACCCTTGTAGGATTTCAACTTCACTACTGAGCAAACTTCAGATTACAACCTATTGTAACCTAGGAATTAATCTCTTAATCCCTCACTAACTTGTAACAACTCTATTACAAGCCACTTTGTAATAACTCTATTACAAAGTTTTACAACCCGACTAACTCTAGCCAAAACACAAACACTAAGGTTTATGATCTACAAAAGTTTCCTACACAATGCTTCTAACTAGCTAAGTAGGAATTACAAGTAAAGTGCTTTAACAAAGGTGCAACACAACTAAGGACATGTAATGACTCAATACAGGAAACTGGTCCTACGTGATGTTGTTCTTTGTTCTCGATGCCCTTGAGAATCACTTGCAAGATTGACACAGACTTGAGAGAATGCTTGATAGATTCTTGAATGTGCAAGTAATTTGTTTTACTGTTGCTTGATGTTAATAATTCATTTGTTACATCACTTGAATGATGCAAGCAAGTTAGGTAAAGGGCATTCCCCTTAAAGTTGACTGTTGCACTGTTTTTGCACTATTGCGTGTGTAGGCAGCAACCTTACAGCTGTGGGGAGCTGACATGTACAGTCACCACGGGAACTGGTAGCCATATGTGTCCCCCTGTTGTTCCTTTAACTCTGAAGAGTTGAACCACGTCCCTGACTGGAGACTTGTTGATCTTAAGTACTTGAGGATGTGTAACAGGTTCCTTATCTGGTTCTTAACAATAAGTTTGTTGGATCATCAAAACATAACAGGGATACATATAACCTATCAATTTTCCTGTTTTTGATGATGACAAACTTATAATTCAAGTTCCCCTAAGAACCAGAATGACATTCGCATTTTCTGTATTCCCCCTGAATCTGTTCCCCATCTTGTTCCCCCTCAATTATTTTTCCTCCTTTTGGCATCACGAAAAGATCAGTAGCAGGCAATATGCAAAAAGAAGTCTAGCTTGGTTAACTCATGCCACATGTGTGCACACGGTCATCACTAAAAACATAGAAGAAGAACAAGGCATACACATCAAAAGGACGAAACTTTCATTAATTTTGGATAATTAAGCAGGGAGCAGTTCCATTGTTACCAACACATCCACAAAATATAAATAACAAAAAAAGGTACCAGTCATAAACATCATTAAGACTAAAATAAAGGACAGACACTAGGAATCTTGACACTGGGAAGGGAACAATTTTTAGGGAGCACTGGAAGGAGAAGGCCCAAATGAAGAGGCAAGGGTTCTAAGAAGGATGTCCATTCGAGCACTAGCTGACACCAGCTCGTTGAGTAGTCTCTCCTTCCAGTCCTCAAACTGTTTCCCGTGGTCAACATTCTCTTTTGTCAGNGTATCATGAAGTTGAAGTTGGAAAAGAAAAAGAGTACATGGAATTTATCATGATTCTTATTCTTTTTGTTTTCCATATCTATCATTTTTCGATGTGATAAAAAATATCTTTTCAATGGAAATATGCTTTTGATTTTGAAGGCACTCTGGTAGTTAAATTACAAGAATGTTATGAGATTTTATCGAGGAGGGAATAGTATTAATTTAAATAATCTAAAGATTATCATTGAAATAACCACAAAGATTTACTACTTTTTTCTCCAATTGCTAAAGATTTGAAAGAGTTATCGGATATCCAGGAAGGGACATAAAAATTTAAAAGGGTTAGATGTTGGTTCTCTTTGGATGCAGTTAAAGTTCAATATCTTATTAAAATTAAGGGTCCCACCAAACTATATAGAGAATCAAGTTCTCTATTAAATCCTACAGAACACACATACACACCGTAGTACGTAAATGGCACAATGGAGTTTTACGTGGAAATCTCCCAGCTCACGGGATTAAAAACCACGACCTACCCTTGTAGGATTTCAACTTCACTACTGAGCAAACTTCAGATTACAACCTATTCTAACCTAGGAATTAACCTCTTAATCCCTCACTAACTTGTAACAACTCTATTAAGCCACTTTGTATTAACTCTATTACAGAGGTTTACAACCCGACTAACTCTAGCCAAGACACAAACACTAAGGTTTATGATCTACAAAAGTTTCCTATACAATGCTTCTAACTAGCTAAGTAGGAATTACAAGTAAAGTGCTTTAACAAAGGTGCAACACAACTAAGGACATGTAATGACTCAATACAGGAAACTGGTCCTTCGTGATGTTGTTCTTTAATCTTGATGCCCTTGAGAATCACTTGCAAGATTGACACAGACTTGAGAGAATGCTTGATAGAATCTTCAATGTGCAAGTTATTTGTTTTACCTTTGCTTGATGTTAATAATTCATTTGTGACATCACTTGAATGATGCAAGCAAGTTAGGTAAAGGGCATTCCCCATAAAGTTGACTGTTGCACTGTTTTTGCACTATTGCGTGTGTATGCAGCAACTTTACAACTGTGGGGAGTTGACATGTACAGTCACCACGGGAACTGGTAACCATATGTGACCCCTGTTGTTCCTTTAACTCTGAAGAGTTGAACCACGTCCCCGACCGAAGACTTGTTGATCTTAAGTACTTCAGGATGTGTAACAAGTTCCTTATCTGGTTCTTAACAATAAGTTTGTTAGATCATCAAAATATAACAGGGATACATATAACCTATCAATTTCCCCCTTTTTGATGATGACAAACTTATAATTCAAGTTCCCCCTAAGAACCAGAATGACATTTGCATCTCCTGTATTCCCCCTGAATCTGTTCCCCATCTTGTTCCCCCTCAATTATTTTTCCTCCTTTTGGCATCATGAAAAGATAAGTAGCAGGCAATAAGCACAAAGAAGTCTAGCTTGGTTAACTCATGCCACATGTTGTAACGACCCGACTGGTCGCTTTGAGCAATTGCGCCCGCTTTGGTAGTTTGAGGTCTCGAGCAGCTTCACATTATGTATATCGACTTGTGTGCATGGTTGGATTCGGTTTCCGGATGAATTAGAATTGAATTAGAGGAAGGAACCTAGTTATGGAAGTTTAAACAGTGAAAATTTGACCGGAATTGGACTTTGGAGTAAACGGCCCCGGAATGGGTCGTGGGTGATCCCAATAGCTTCGTATGGTAATTTTGGACTTAGGAGCGCGTTCGGATTCAGATTTGGAGGTCCGTAGGGTAATTTGAGGTGTTTCGGCGAAAGTTGGAAAAGTTAAAGTTTTGACCATAGTTGACTTTTATGATATCAGGGTCGGCATGCGATTCCGAGAGTTGGAGCAGCTCTGTTATGTCAATTTGGACTTGTCTGCAAAATTTGGCGTTATTCCCAGTGGAATTGATAGGTCTCGGCATGAGGTTTGATGTTTGAAGATTTGGAAATTTCTAATCTTGATTTTTGGTTTGATTCGTTGTTTTGTTGTTGTTTTATGTGATTTGAAACCTCGAGCGAGTCCGTGTTAGGTTATATGACTTGTTTGTGTGATTAGACGGGGTTCCGGGAGCCTCGGGTGTGTTTCGGGTGAGTTTTGAGCGAGTCCGAACATTCCGGAACTTAGAAAATGGATGGGGGCAGAAGCTTTAGCGCTGGGCGCGGTGGATTTAGTGCTGGGCGCGGTGGATTTAGTGCGGCCGCTGAAAATGGTCCGCGGTCCGCGGTCATGAAGAATCTGCAGGTCGTTGGTCCAACTTCGGAGGCTCATATCTTTTTATCTACAAGGAATTTGGGGATGATTCAAACACGAAAGTTGTAGATATTTGAATCTAGTTTTCAGAAACATATTATAATAGGCATTTGGACATCTTTAGCAAAAGTTAAGTCCAAAATACTAAGGCATGTCACTGCAGTCAAAATCCACCGCGGGGGCAATGGATTTTGTGCGGCCAGCACTACTCCAGTGCGGACCACACTCGATTTTGTGCGGTCAGCATTGGTGGAATCCGGGAGGTGAGCTATAAATACGAGGTTTAGGGTTTTATTTCATATTTTGGCCTAGAGAGCTCGGATTTTGGCGATTTTTCGAAGGTTTTTCATGAAATTCAACGGGGTAAGTGATTCTAACTCGGATTTGGCTAGAATACATGAATCTATCATTGAATTCATCATTTGATTCGTGATTTGGGATGGAATTTGGGGAAAATTATGAAATCTTTCAGAAATGTAAAAGGATGATTTGAAGGACCAAATGGTATCAGAATTGGATAATTTTCGTATGGGTGAACTCGTATCGGAATGGGTATTCGGTTTTTGTAAATTTTGTCGGGTTCTGAGGTGCGGGCCCGGGGAGTTGACTTTTCGCAAATTGTATAAGAATCATAGCTTTGTTAATTGGAATTATTTTCTCTTGCATTGTTAGATGTATTCAAGTCGTTTTTGGCTAGATTGAGCCAAGCATTGATGAACTGGAAAAACTAAAAGCTAAATTGAGTATTGAATTGGCCGGATTGAGGTAAGTATCTTGCCTAACCTTGTGTGGGAGACTTCCCCTTAGGAATTGAGTCTTCTATGCTAATTGTAGTCCGTGCATGCGAGGTGACGAGTGTGTGCTCGGACGTAATTGTGGAAAATATGCTCTAGGGTTCGTAGGTCCTTATGTTCAATGTGGAGAGTATTTCGTTATGATTGAGTTTGATAATTGCTTAAATTGTCTCTATATGCTCCAAATGATATTGCTAGCTTTCCTTGAATTCCTACGTGTTGCATTAACCCTTAATTGCCTTGATTGAAGTGATTGTCCTTCTTGTTGTTTGGATACTTCTTGATTGTGAGTTCCTCTATGACTTCGTGCAAATAGGTTACATGTCCAACTGTTGTGGTTGTCGGTGTAGTTCTCACTTGTTTATTATGTCTTGTTGTGTGGTTGGGGTTTCATTGTGAAGTTAATTGTCGATACAAGTTTGGTTATATCTGATGCCCTTGCTGGGACATATTTGATTCTTACTGTTGGTTCCCTTGCCGTGACGTGTCTATTCTTGTTGTTGACTCCCTTGCCGGAATATTGTTGTTTTCCTTATTATTCTCTTGCCGGGACGTTGTTGTTTCCTTATTATTTCCTGGCCGACATTCTTTTATAATTGATGAAAGATAAAATAAAATAGGAGCGGGTGGTACGCCTACCACAAGATATAATGAAATGGGAAGAAATAATGAAATGGGAGCGGGTGGTACGCCTACCACAAGATATAATGAAATGGGAGCGGGTGGTACGCCTACCACGAGATATAATGAAATGGGAGCGGGTGGTACGCCTACCACAAGATATAATGAAATGGGAGCGGGTGGTACGCCTACCACAAGATATGATGAAATGGGAGCGGGTGGTACGCCTACCACAAGATATAATAAAATGGGAGCGGGTGGTACGCCTACCACAAGATAAGTGAAATGGGAGCGGGTGGCACGCCTGCCACGAGATAAATAAGACGAAAGTGAAATTCTGTGTTTGGTCCTCTTATCCTTGTTAGTGATTGGATTTTTGGTGCCGTGCACCTTCGATTTGCTATGTTTAGTTGTTATTGTCAATTCAAATGTTTAAACTGTTTATTTCTTTCATTGCTGTGATCCTTTGTGTTGGAACCCACAATGTTTTCAGTACCTCACCGTACTTCTATATATTTATTTATACGTTCCAATACTTCAAACTTCAATAATTGTTACATCCT